AGAAGATGCCGAATGATTAGCGTTGTACTCTAACCATTTGGTTTTAATACGACATTTAGGTTGACGTTCTGGACTTATTGTTAAGATCCGGATTTACAATAAGGATTCCCAGTTGTAACGATGTTCTTCATATGACTAACGTAGGTTCAGCACGGCTTCGCCCGGAACGTAGAAGGATACCTCGTTGACTGCATTTACTTGAACGTCATATTATAGCCAAATAACTGAAGTATAATGCAAATCGAGTGTCTTCTGATGTAGTTGATCTACGAATCTCTTTATCCGGCACTTTCATACGAAATAAAATTCTTAAAAATAATCTTATCTTGGGAGATTCTCTAAACCCGAATTTCCTTTCTATAATAAGAAAGCGACAATGCTGCGAGTTCATGTATGTTAGTTCCCTGTCTACTACTGGTAACTTGGTACTTGCAAGAGAATTAATTATTTTTGAATGTCTGCACTAGCAAAAGTCCGCCACACAAAATATCTTTATGATAAAGAGGGGGATAAAAACTTAGGAACAGCAGCTTGAATTAAGTTCCATATTAGCTCAAATGCCTGGAAATTTGCAACACTAATATGAGATTAAACAGTACCAATTTTGATATGAAAATTGGTTCTCAAACACGGATTCAAGAAATAATGAAACTAGTCCCATCCATATGAGAGTAGGGTTTTGAGACACGTATAGTCAGACTCGTATAATCACGGGTACTCTGTAACAATATTCCTGCTAATGCCCAACATCTGACGGTCAGCTTGTTACATTTCCAGACATTTCACTAGCATCGCCAGTGAGCTGAGCTGCCATTTGCACAGAGATTCAAATGATCAAAATGGCAAATGAAGACAATCGCTTTAGCGATTTTTCTGTTCAACCGTTGTGGCATCTCACCTCCCTTTTTTCCAGACTTCTAGCGCTGCATCCGAATTACATCTGCCATCAAAGAAATGCATGCTAATTCACATTTTTGCTCCATGTTATCAAGAGATCAAATGGGATCGGAAGTTGGACATTTATTAAAGCAAGGCTATCCGATAATTTCTATGCTTTGAGTGACTCTGAAAATAATTTATAGTGAGTTGTATAATTTCTAGCTCCTTACTCACTTTGATGATATAAGGAGCCTCCTAACTAGGTTTAAAAAGCTGCTGACCGCTTTTCTAGATGTGGGGAATTGATTCAATGTCCAGCTTGTTTCATTTGCAAATGGGTTTTTGATTTTATATCATTTACAATTATTGCATTTAGTTTCGTACTCCAGATCGTCACATATGTATGAGCCGTAGCAAGATACCACTTTCAAAAATATAAATAAAATATATTTTAACTAACACACTTAACAGTTTATGCAATAGTTTTCTAAAAATTTTGAATGTTTACATAGGAAAACTTTGTTCGTTCACCTCATATTATTAGTAGTATTCAGCATAAACTATTTCAAAGTTTTACTAAATATCGATATAAAAATACTTTTCGTTAAAAACAATGCCATCATGTTCAAGGTTTTCCGTATACATAAGTTACTGCGCGTATACTGAGTTTACTTATGGACGGGCATTGCTGCTCTCTCATTTTATTTTTCTCCCTAATTTTCTCATATGTGTTCGCGGATACGCCCGCGAACTGCACGTATGAAGATGCCAGAGGGCAATGGCGGTTTGGATTGAGCTTGTTCAAGAAGGATTGCAACTCTTCCTGTAAAATTATTATATCTTATTGAAATTTAGTTCAAGAAACCTCGGCTGTTTTTGTGACTCTTTTGTACCCAAACATTGTTAAAGACGACTTTGGAAACACTGGAACATGGACTTTAATATATAATCAGGTTTGGATTTTTACTTTAATTTTTCAGGGTTTTGAAGTAACTCTCTCTCATAGAAAGTGGCTGGTAATGTTTGATTATGATAGCGTTACATCTGAATCATTTTGTGGCAAAGGAATACCGGGTTGGACGCATGACACTTTGATTCGTCAGTGGTCCTGCTTCTCTGCTCAGAAAATAGGGTAACTAATCTTTGCCCCAGTAAATAATATTTGTAGATACACACCTTCGCTAAATATCGTACCAATAGCTGTTGATAATCAGCATCTTGGAAATAGATTATATCAGACAAATACTGATTTTATTTCTCAGATAAATTCAGTTCAGTCTTCCTGGACAGCTAGACGTTATGTGGAGCATGAAAAATTTTCATTGTTGGATATGTACCGCAGATCTGGTGGTAAGAAGTCCGTTCTTACAAAGTAAGCTATGCCTTATATTAGTCAATGCATCATCTATTCTTTTTCTTAATCCTTTACTCTTTTTAGTCGCCCAAGCGCAGCTCCTACGACCAAAGCACTTCAAGATTTAGTAAATCAGCTTCCAAAAAATTTTGATTGGCGTAGACCACCAGAGGGTCAAAGTGTGGTTACTGACGTAAGGGATCAGTCAAAATGTGGAAGTTGCTATGCATTTGCTTCTGCTGCTGCTTTGGAATCAAGGATTCGAATTCTGTCTAACAATACCGTGCAGCCTATCCTTTCTCCACAGGATATCA